AATACTACTACCAAAAGGCGAAGATTCGGGATACGAAGTGTCAGTGTAATGAACTTTGGATGTATTATCATTACGTTAATGGTAATAAATGTTTTTTTTTAATAAATCTAATCAGTTTAACACGTAGGCTTTCGCGACCAATGTTATTCATAATCAACGTTTTTGGGTTTAGATCGCGTTATTTATAAATGTGTCGTAACCCTCCACCACCCGACACGGCCAATCAGTAAAAATGTGTCACGTTGTCTCTCACCACTTCTTTCTATCGAGATGCAGCAGTCGTATTGAGTTCTAGATATGATTCGCAGATACAGCCAAAATCACGAATAGCAAATCTGTGAATAACGAAGGAATTACCGTGAGACACACCGTGAGCCTCGCCGCGAGACCCACCCTGAGACGAGACTCAGCGTGAGACTCACCGTGAGACCGTGAGACTCGCATTGAGACCGTGAGACTCAGAGACTCACCGTGAGCCTCGGCGTGAGACTCACGGTGAGATGAGACTCAGCGTGAGACTCGCCGTGACACCCGTGAGACTCAGACTCACCGTGAGACTCACCCGTGAGACTCGGCGTGAGACTCGGCGTGAGACCGTGAGACTCAGAGACTCACCGTGAGACTCGCCGTGAGATGAGACTCACCGTGAGACTCAGAGACTCACTGTGAGACCCACCGTGAGACTCACCGTGACACCCGTGAGACTCGCCGTGAGACTCGCCGTGAGTCCGTGAGACTCAGAGACTCACCGTGAGATGAGACTCACAGTGAGACTCGGCGTGAGACCGTGAGACTCGGCGTGAGACTCGCTGTGAGACCGTGAGACTCACAGTGAGACTCGGCGTGAGACCGTGAGACTCGGCGTGAGACTCGCCGTGAGACCGTGAGACTCGGCGTGAGTCGAGGTGAAAGCGTTGAGGCGGAAGTGAATTCTCACTCCAGGGTCCGCGGCGATTTGAGCGCAGGGCCTCGATGGGTGAGTGGGGGGAGTGGGGGGAGGGGTGAGTGGGGGGAGTGGGGGGAGGGGTGAGTGGGGGGAGGGGTGAGTGGGGGGAGTGGGGGGAGGGGTGAGTGGGGGAGGGGTGAGTGGGGGAGGGGTGAGTGGGGGAGGGGTGAGTGGGGGGGAGTGGGGGAGGGGTGAGTGGGGGGAGGGGTGAGTGGGGGGAGGGGTGAGTGGGGGGAGGGGTGAGTGGGGGGAGTGGGGGAGGGGTGAGTGGGGGGGAGTGGGGGGAGTGGGGGAGGGGTGAGTGGGGGAGGGGTGAGTGGAAGGAGGGGTGAGTGGGGGGAGGGGTGAGTGGGGGGAGTGGGGGAGGGGTGAGTGGGGGGAGTGGGGGGAGTGGGGGGAGGGGTGAGTGGGGGGAGGGGTGAGTGGGGGGAGGGGTGAGTGGGGGAGGGGGGAGTGGAGTGAGTGGGGGGAGGGGTGAGTGGGGGGAGGGGTGAGTGGGGGGAGTGGAGTGGGGGAGGGGTGAGTGGGGGAGGGGTGAGTGGGGGGAGGGGAGCGGTGGTGCCGCGGTTAGCGCTACGAACCCGGAAAAATACCCGAGTTCGATTCCCGCTCACGGCTACCAATCACGGCGCGATTATCTGAGCTGGTACTTGGGCCTCCCCTAGGTCGACTGAGCCTCAAATGAGTATCTGGTGAGGTGTGAAAACATCACCACTGGGGAGACAAAGGCGGCCGGGCATGGTGCTGGCCACCCATCTCCTCGTGTGTCGTACCGGCGTTGATAGGTGTTCACTAACAGCACTTGCCCCAACAGTCTGTTAAGGCTATACGGGGATCTTTGTCTTTGAGTGAGTGGTGAGTGGATGGGTGAGTAGGTGAGTACGTGGGTGTGTGAGTGATTGAGTGGGTGAGTGAGTGAGTGGGTAAGTCAGAAAGTGAGTGAGTGGGTGAGTGAGTGGGTGAATAGGTGCGTGGGTGTGTGAATGATTGAGTGAATGAGTGGGTGAGTGAGTGAATTAGTAGGTGAGTGGGTGAGCGAGTGGGGACTGAGTGGGTGAGGGAGTGGGTGAGTAAGTGAGTGAATGAGTGGGTGGGTGAGTGAGTCAGTACGTGAGTAGGTGGATAAGTTGGTGAGTAAGTGGGTGGGTAAGCAGGAGCGTGAGTGTATGAATGAGTGGACGAGTGACTGAATGAGTGAGTCGGTGGGTGAGTGAGTACGTGGGTGGGTGAGTGAGTGGGTGAGTGAGTGAGTGAGAGGGTGAGTAGTTTGTCGATTATGTTTCACAAAATGAAAACTTTGATGAAACAATCAGAATAGGCTTCATTACCCTTTGCAAGGAATCAAGTCCGCATTAACCACAACATATAACTTGTGGAAAAACATCCAAACAAACATTCTCATACTAATAATGATGATGAACGCATTGTATTTCAAACTCATTTGCCTCCTGCATGGCCTTGTCTCACCAACAATGACAAAAGGCGAACAGTAGAAAGGCGATGCAAGTGTAGTGAGGCCAACAGAGTCGCACACGTTATGCGTGAGAGGCAACACATTTATTTTAACACGTAAATACACAAAGGGGTAACTGCCCCTTTGCCAGATACAGCCGAGGGTGGTGACCACCCAGCTAACTACACTGCACAGAGGAGTTACCGCTACGAAGGGTCGGACCCTCACTCGGGTCCCCGGCCACGTGTTGGTGCATCTTCAGACGTAGAGCTTCCAACTTAGATTTGACGTTTTCGTGCCTGCAGGGATCCATACTCTTTGGTTCTTTCGGTAAAGTCACGTAGGTAGAAATTAAATTACGTTTCGGGCGCAACACAAGCGTCCGTCATCAGGTGGGACAACCACAGCAAGAAACAATTGCCCTTTTGCCAACTTCATAGGCGCTGCGACTCGCTACGCACAGCACTTGCCACCGCAGCCTGCTAGAGGCTACACGGGGGAGCTTTGCCTTTGTGTGCGGCTCGCTGCATCCGAGTGAGGCGGCTTAGCCTGCACCAAGCCGCTCCGCGTCGCTTCGGGGTTGCCGACTCACCACGTGACTCCCCCCCCCCCCAGCGCGAGACCCCCACCCCCATTACTCCGGTCGCCAGGTTCGTAGCTACAACCACTCGCTCAGTACAACCACTCACTCACTACAGCCACTCACTCACTACAGCCACTCACTCACTACAGCCACTCACTCACTACAACCACTCACTCACTACAACCACTCACTCCAACCACTCACTACAACCACTCACTCAGTACAACCACTCAGTACAACCACTCACTACAACCACTCACTCACTACAACCACTCATTACAATCACTCGCTCAGTACAACCACTCACTACAACCACTCACTCACTACAACCACTCACTACAACCACTCACTCACTACAACCACTCACTCACTGCAACCACTCACTCACTGCAACCACTCACTCACTGCAACCACTCACTCACTACAACCACTCAGTACAACCACTCACTCACTACAACCACTCACTCACTACAACCACTCACTCACTGCAACCACTCACTCAGTACAACCACTCACTACAACCACTCACTCACTACAACCACTCAGTACAACCACTCACTACAACCACTCACTCACTACAACCACTCACTCACTACAACCACTCAGTACAACCACTCACTACAACCACTCACTCAGTACAACCACTCACTACAACCACTCACTCACTACAACCACTCACTACAACCACTCAGTACAACCACTCACTCAGTACAACCACTCAGTACAACCACTCACCCAGTACAACCACTCACTACAACCACCACTCGCTACAACCACTCGCTCAGTACAACCATTCACTCACTACAACCACTCACTCACTACAACCACTCACTACAACCACTCAGTACAACCACTCGCTCAGTACAACCACTCACTCACTACAACCACTCACTCAGTACAACCACTCGCTCAGTACAACCACTCACTCACTACAACCACTCACTCACTACAACCACTCAGTACAACCACTCACTCACTACAACCACTCACTCAGTACAACCACCCAGTACAACCACTCACTCAGTACAACCACTCAGTACAACCACTCAGTACAACCACTCACTCACTACAACCACTCATTCAGTACAACCACTCACTCACTACAACCACCCAGTACAACCACTCAGTACAACCACTCAGCACAACCACTCACTCAGTACAACCACTCACTCACTACAACCACTCACTCACTACAACCACTCACTCGCTACAACCACTTACTACAACCACTCACTACAACCACTCACTCACTACAACCACTCACTCAGTGCAACCACTCGCTCACTACAACCACTCAGTGCAACCACTCGCTCACTACAACCACTCACTACAACCACTCAGTACAACCACTCAGTACAACCACTCACTCAGTACAACCACTCAGTACAACCACTCACTCACTACAACCACCACTCACTACAACCACTCAGTACAACCACTCACTCACTACAACCACTCGCTCAGTACAACCACTCGCTCACTACAACCACTCAGTACAACCACTCACTCACTACAACCCCTCGCTCAGTACAACCACTCACTCACTACAACCACTCATTCACTACAACCACTCACTCGCTACAACCACTCACTACAATCACTCACTACAACCACTCACTCACTACAACCACTCACTCAGTACAACCACTCACTCGCTACAACCACTCACTCACTACAACCACTCACTACAACCACCACTCAGTACAACCACTCACTCACTACAATCACTCACTCAGTACAACCACTCACTCACTACAACCACTCAGTACAACCACTCACTCACTACAACCACTCACTCAGTACAACCACCACTCACTACAACCACTCACTCACTACAACCACTCACTCACTACAACCACTCGCTCAGTACAACCACTCAGTACAACCACTCACTCCAACCACTCACTACAACCACTCACTACAACCACTCAGTACAACCACTCACTCACTACAACCACTCACTCACTCCAGTACGGTCCGAGTATCCGTTCATCCTGAGGGCTTGGTGTACGTGCTCCAACTCACTAGCTAGGTGGTGCTGGTCGTTGAATTCTTCTGGGCTGGATGGTGGTGGGAATCAGGCTTTAGATAGGCATCCGTGTGGGTGGCTTTCCTGTAGACCGAATGTCCCAACGAGCCATCAGGTCTCTTCTCGATCACTACATCCAGGAATGGTAGCTTCCCATCCTTTTCCACTTCCATAGTGAATTTGATAGACGGGTGTATGGAATTGATGTGGTTGAGAAATTGGTTCAGTGCTGGCAGACCATGTGGCCAGATGACAAACGTGTCATCTACGTATCTCTTCTACAAGGAAGGACGTAGGGTGGATGTCTGGATGGCATCTGTCTCAAAATATTCCATGAAAACATTCGCTACCACTAGCGATAAGGGAGAACCCATTGGGGTACCCTCATCTTGTCTGTAGAATGTACCATTCCAGGTGAAGTATGTGTTGGTAAGACAGTGCCTTACCAAAGTTGGTACATCTGCATTCAGTCCCTGTTGGACCAAGTGTTCAACGATTGCAATGGTGTCAAGTACAGGTGTAATAACAGCCATAGAGGGTTCACGTGGGGATTGGCTTGCCGGTCCTGCTCGTAGCCAATAAGGGTTGAGATTGGGACCATGGCCCATGCGTCATCACGACAGGTCATCGGAAGTGATTGGCCTAGCCATTCGGGGCCCCAGCTAATGGGGAGCCGGATGAGGGGCGTGGTCCCGGGATTGACAGGGAACCATCGAGAATGGTGAGAGCTGTCCATACATGATTGGCTGGGGGAACCACGTGACGAAGGTCTTAAGAGTGAGCGAGAGGGAACGATCGCGAGCAGACTGAAAATAACAGAAGCAGGGTCACGTGCGGAGGGGGCCTCGGGTTGCCACGTGCGCGGAGGGAACTTCGTGCGGAGTCTGTCCTCTCTCTCCGTTGTCTGCCAGCAACGGAGAGTGAGTAAGGAAAGTGTATGGTGGAGTGGAAATAAAAAGGACTGATTCCGAAGCCGTCTCCTGGAAGGTTATTACACAGGTACATTGGTGAACAGAGAAACTACATCGAAACTGACAAGCAAATCATCCGGAGAGAGTGAGATGTCCTTGATTAGATAAACCAAGTGAACTGAGTTAAGTACAGCTGAGGTGGACTTGCCAGTGAAAGGAAGCAGAGTCTCAGACAGAAATCGGGCCAGTTTGTAGGTAAGTGAGTTAATCGTGGAGACGATAAGACGGAGCGAGGTACCTTCTTTGTGGATTTTTGGAAGGCCATAAAATCTGGGTGGTCTAGCAGCCAAAGGTTTTAGGCAGCTCTTCTTGGTCTGATCGATTAGAGAAGTCGATTTAGTGATGATATTGTTGGTTTTAGTAGCTAGTCAGTTGGTGGGATCTCTGTTTATTTTGGTATATACAGTGATCCCTCGTTTATCGCGGTTAATGGGGACCGGAACCCCTCACAATAGGTAAAAATCCGCGAAGTAGGATTGGCCCCCTAGGAATTTCCGTATATGTGTGTGTGGGTACCAGAATGTTTAAAATATGTATATTTATACTTTATATATATATTTTACTTAAATCTATTTAATTATAAAACCTTAATATTATACACTCTCTCTCATACGATACGTATTATGGTGTTCTACACTCACCAATGACAGTAGTATCTTGAGACTTGACTCCAGTAATGACGACGACGACGATGACAACGATGATGCGCAGCCAATCAGCTCACGGGATACATCCACTCGTGCTCTCATTCGTCGATCTCGCGCCGGGAACCAATCACGTGCCTTGTCTGAGTGCCCGTGGGTATGTACAAAGCCTCTGAGAGAGTTTCTCTTTTTGTCTGGCAACCTGGGAAACCATTTCTCTCGCGCATCACGATGAAACAACGCTGCTTTCCGCAATACGGCTGCCGATATGGCGGTATTTTAGAATTTTTTTTTTCGATAAATATTTTTGAAAAATCCGCGATGCACTGAGGCCGCGAAACTTGAACCGCGAAGTGGCGAGGGATTACTCTACTACACTACTAAACACTACACCACTATACTACATTGAAAAGTAATTTATGAAGAACAGCTTTTTGTGTTTAATTTGTTGTCCTTCCCCCGCACGCTCCGATTAGCTATGGTTGGTTATGTACAGTGTGAAATAAGTTCAACATACATACACACATACGCTCAGGGGTAGGGACAGACGAACCCATGCTCAAACCCGTGCTCTCACCCACGCTGGAACCCATGAACCCAGTTCGGGCTATGGGTTAGCGCCAGGGTTGTGGTTGCGAGAACGGGTTCGAGCATGACACCCCTGTGCAGCAGTGTGTAAACAATGATTTTGAAGCAACTTCGGATGAGTTCTATGATCAGTTTAACACAGTTTAACACGGCTTTTGTGACCAATATTATCCATAAGAGGTTTTTGGGTTAGAGTGCGTAAATATACAAAGTGTCGTTAAACCCGCCGCCACCACCCGACAGCCAATTAGTAAGGTTTGTCACATAAATAAAACGTGACAATTCGTTGCTAGTTTACAATTGTAGGTGTTGCAGGTTTATTCTCCAACACACCGGTGTGCTGTTCGTAAGTCAATTTGTTGGAAGTCCAACTTGACTCCTGTCAATTACAAACGTGTTGTACGGCATGTACACTCAACAGGGGGAATGGCTTTAAAAGTTGGAAAATCTTCCTTAGATTTAGATGCCACTGCCTCTTCATGTTCTGCAGATGTAGATGCCACCGCCGTCTATTGCGCGGCAGTTGAACTCATGGCTCTCGGTCCGTGCAGGCAACTCGACATAAGGACATGTTTGTTCGTATCTCTGAAAGTTTGTAAGTCGAATGTTCGTAAGTAGAGGAGTCACTGTACTTGGGTGGCGAAGCATTTTTTATATGGGGGTGGAAGCATGGCCTGGAGGTCTGTGGGGCAGTGATTGGTGTGCTTTTTCTAGTTCCCTAGCTCACCCCCACGACGTCCAGAGATCTCCCCCCTCATAACCAACACCACCACCACTACTCTTCCCTCTTCATGTTCTCATTATATGGCTATCACTCATTAACCCCATTCATTCAATCTATTCGTCATCATTGACTGTCAAAATAATTATTCTCTATATGGCTATCACTTATTAAACCTCAACCATTCGATCCATTCATCATCATCCACTGTCATGAATTTAACTTTCACCAAATTCACGCATCATTAGAGATTCGCACACCACATTTTATTCATCACATCTCCCACCACCATCACATTCGCACACACGCACACGTTCTTACACCATTCTTAATTCTCTCTGAAAAGCGCCTTTGGTCAAGGCGCTGTATAAATCTATGCTAAGATGAGATATGATCATTCCGATTTGTCATCTTAGCTGTGGGAGACTTCTGGATTTACTCTCCAACACACAACCAGTTAGTGCTGTACTAGCAACTTATTGGCCACGTTTTGATTGTGTGACAAACGCCTTAACTAATTGGCTGTGTCGGGTGGTGGCGGGTTTAACGACACACATTTATATTTATGCGATCTAACCCAAAAAAATAACCGGTTGTGGATTTCATCTGGGTAGCTTACGTAACTACATTTTTAAATTCAATATCATTAGTAAAATATTTCATAATTCTGACAGTAAATAATAAACATCGTCGTAACTTTTTTCCAGATTTTCCTTCTTAGCTGCGGGAGGGGAGGATTTGCTCGGTCGAGGGGGCCCTTTGGTGCAAGTGGAGGAGCTTTGGATGAAAGGGGAGGAGCTTCAGATGAGAGGGGAGGAGCTTTGGACAAGAAGGGAGGAGCTTCGGGCCGACGGAGAGAACGTCAGCTCTGGTGGAGGAGAGGTCCTCATGGTCGACATTAAAGCAGAGGACCTCCCTGTTGAAGGGGAGGACCCCCACATCAAATTGGAGGACACCTGGGGTGGCGGAGGAGGAGGAGGTGAGCCGCAGAATGGCAATGGTGACCTTCGGGCGAAAGCGGACGACCTTTGCGCTCGCCGGGACGGCGACGCGTGGCCGAGCGGTGACCTCGGCGTCAAGCAGGAGGACGTCCGGGCCGACGGGGATGCCCTTGGTAGGAAAGTTTCGGAGCTCACGGTGGAAACGAGGCGACCGCCGGAGCAGCTTCGCATCAAAAAGGAGGAGGAGGAGGACCTCCTCGAGGCTGACGCAGTGAACACCGTGGTCGGCGGCGAGAAGCCGCCCATTAAACAGGAGGTCTTCGTGAGCGGTGGAAACGAGCCGCGCGTTAAGCAGGAGGATCTCCACTTTGACATCCGTATCGACGGACGCAGCCCTCGGACGACGGGGCAGGCTCCGAGCATTAAGGTGGAAGAAATTTGTACAGAGGGGGGGCAGCGTCTCGACGGCAGCGTGCTGGACCTCCCCCGGGTTAAAGAGGAGGGCGTCCAAATAAAAAAAGAGGACCTTCGAGACGACGGAGGAGAGGACCTGCGGGCCGGAGGTTCAGTTGCGAAGCGGGCGTTCCCAGATGTGGTGGAGGTGGAGGTGATGATGGAGCACGTGGATGAGATGATGGAGCACGTGGATGAAGGTAGGTAGGTAGGTAGGCAGGGAGAGAGGGAGGGGAGGAAGGGAGGGTGGGAGAGTGGGAGGGAGGTTTGCGGGAGGGTGGGAGGGAGGATGGGAGGGTGGGAGGGAGGTTTGCGGGAGGGGGGAATCACCGGGGAGGGAACGAGTCTGGCACAGAGGCTGTGGGGCACAGCTCTTCAAATCGACGTTCCATTTGCGGCCTCCAGGCAGCGGGACTGGAGTGGCTTTTGGTTTGGGTTGACCCAAAACTCAACTGTAAACCGATTATGTTTGGGCTTGTTTCAAGAGGGGCTTAAAACAGTTGGGTTCTGGCTATCCGGTTGAATCAATCGGTTTTATATCCAATTCGATATGCACAATACAATTACTAGTTTTAACCAAGAGTGGTTACGGATCACAAAATCTCAGCGGTTATTTGAAACACAAGTAAGTTGTAACTTAATGTGCCCCGTGCTTAATTTGTGTTTTCGATGATTGGCCTTCGAATAAAGAAAAATCTGGCCATGTCTCTTGCCCAGAAAGGGCATCACACACCCCCAGGGTACAAGATGCACCCCAGGTTAAGAAGAACCACTGGCTCATTAAGATAGCGCGCTCGCACGTCACTGATGTCACAACGACGCTGCCCGGCTTCTGCTTTGCCACCAGAGTCGAACGGAGCGGGCGAGACGGCCGAACGGGGAAAGCACCGCTGCTCCGTGTGCGCCAGGGAGTTCAGCCGGGAGCGTGGGCTCCAGGTCCACACGTGGCAACACTCGAGCCACCGCCGCCACCGTAAGAAGGCCCTGCAGTGCGACCTCTGCGCGTATAGCACGAGGCTCAAGAGCGACCTGGAGAGGCACCTACGGACCCACCATGACGACGATGAGGAGGAGAGTTCGGCAAATTGGGAGCCGTCGGCGCTATCGACCGTCTCGAGACGCACGGCACCAAGTGGACCCGTCCCTCGTAACCGCCGTGCGACACGTGCTGCAGCGGAGAGTGGGCCCGTCTCTAATAACCGCCGTGCGACACGTGCTGCAGCGGAGAGGGGGCCCGTCCCTAATAACTGCTGTGCGACACGTGCTGCAGCGGAGAGGGGGCCCGTCCCTAATAACCGCCGTGCGACACGTGCTGCAGCGGAGAGGGGGCCTGTCTCTACTGACCGCCAGAGGAAAGCCACAGCAGCAGAAGGTGAGTCCGTCTCGAATAACCGCCAGACGAGACACGCACCGAAGAGGACGACGGAGGCGCACGAAGGGACGGATAACGGAGGAGGCCCTGCGGAGGCGCCCCCCCGGGCGAGGCTCCACGATTGCCCTACGTGCGGCAAGGCGTTCTCGCGCGCCGCCCACCTGCGGCGCCACTCGCGCGTCCACGCGACCTCGCGCCCGCACGGCTGCCCCGTGTGCGGCAAGGCATTCGCCCACGCCGACGACCTGTCGGCGCACACCCGGGTCCATGCGGCCGACCCCGGCGGGCACCCCTACCGGTGCGCCCACTGCGGCGCCTGCTTTCGCCGGCCCTCGCACCTCCTCGCGCACGAGCGGACGCACACGGGTGAGCGGCCATTCGTGTGCGCTCACTGCGGGAGGGCGTTCGCCCACGCGGCCACCCTCCGGCGGCATGAGCGGGCGCACGCAGGCGAGCGACGGCACGCAGGTGAGCGATCGCACCGCTGTGACACGTGCGGGTCGCTGTTCTCGTGCAAGAGCCACCTGCGGCGGCACCACGAACGGAAGCACACGCGCGGCAGGGAACGCCACGCGTGCGCGCTCTGTCCCGTTGCGTTCTACTCGGAGGCGGCGCTGGCCAGACACGAGGAGCGCCACCTGCGCAAGGGGGCGGCTGGAGGAGCAAGGGGGGAGAGGGGTTACTGCGAAGCCGTCGGAGCGTCGGAGCGGCCGCGGAGACGGAGGAGCGGCCGCGGAGAAGCCGGCAACGACGACGTGGAAACGGGAGTAGCGCCCGAGACGCTCGCTGTGCCTGGGAAGCGACCGCTCCCTCCCCTCGCCCACCCCACTGACGGAGACGAGAAGCTGGCGTGAAATGACCGGACCGGTAGCGCCGACTATCCTCAACCTTCGTGTGCATCCCGTTCCGTTGTAATGCATAATGTACTGTATGTGTGTTAAATGTCTCTTTTGCACCGCCGTACATAGCTGACCATAGCTGATTGTAGGTGCGGGGAGAAGAACAACAAATCAAACACAACAACAACAACAACAAGCAGTTCTCAAGAAACAAGTTTGTCAATCTCGATTATGACTTAACACATTCCTGCGGAGGGAGCTGGTAGGAACGTTGGGTTGCTCGGTCAATGGCCAGGGTCAACGGCGGCGTGGTGTATTCCGCAAATATGCCCGACTGTGAGGGCGGGCACAAGCCGGCATGAGTAGGTAAAACGTTGAGTTTTATAAGGGCACCACGGGGTGACCAGCCCCTCCCCACCCAGCCTCACCCCTCCCACCCCCTACACAGCCCCACCCTCCCCACCCAGCCCCTCCCCACCCAGCCCCTCCCCACCTTCCCCACCCAGCCCCTCCCCACCCAGCTCCTCCAACCTGTTGTATATATGAGCCTTTTTCCAAAATTCATGTTAAGAATAATTCGGCCAATATATATGTTTTTTAATCAACCGCGGGGTAGCACGAGGCAAAGACAAAATTGTAACAACCACCATCACCACAGCTGCCTTTCGGAACAAAGAGCCTCCCTACCGCCTTTGTCTCCCAGCAACATGTGGTGGCAATAAAACTTCCAAAGACGAATGTGACGCCCTCCCCTCCCACGACGGAAGGAGCCAGTCATAAAATCAGAACAACACACAAGTCCCGCCCCCCCCGACAAAGGATAACGAAACAGACGTTTTTTTGGTTAACTTTTTTCATGTTTCTTCTAACAACGGTAAAAGTTCAAAACTTGGCGACAAAGATTAAGTGAACATTATCGATCCTCACACTCCAATTAAGAACCAGGCTACAATCTACATCAGTGGATTATTATTTCCCATTCATTATTTTAATACTAATGGCATTTATTTTTATCTTTATCTACGCGACCTGACCAAAACTAACTCGAGAACAAACAGCAACCCAGAATGCAGGCTGTGGAACGAAGGTTAGTAAAACCCTATGAATATACGTGGTAATAACAATGCTAAATCACAAATCTTGAATAAACACAAACCAAATAATAATTATGAAGTATTAGACCAAGGGTCGTCCAGGAGAATGAAAGGCGAATTAAGTCCATCAGACCTAACCAAGATGTAATATACTCCATAGGAAAAGAGCCTCCCAACCGCCTTTGTCTTCCCACAGCACGTGATAGCAAGATTTGCACACAGGCAAAAAACATCTCCCCATAAAAGAGAGGGGGAAGGGGGCTGAAAGGACGCACGTGGGGGCAATCTGGGACAGCTGCTTCCATTGATGAACTTATATTACCAATAAAATCAGAACACACACACGGACACACCGGCAGCTGTTTCCACAGGGGGGGGAGCTAACACAAAGAATGGTTCCGGTCCTTTGTAAGAAGGCGTGCCAAGGGGAGAGATTTTTTTCAGATATAATCAGAGACTCGGCCCATACATTTCAGAAGCTTGCCAGCAGAAGGAGAATCCAGCAGAAGAAGAAGACTGCAATCAACCAGGATGGTGAGGCTCGCTGAGTAGCAATGTGTTACCCAGTGCGAGTTCAGCACCAACAGAAGTAGTATCGCTCGAAAGTCATTCTGCTCTGGGTACCAACTCCCACGTGCCACTGCAGTTCGAGTTGAGCTGACGAGAATTCCAGCATCGTCCTCGAGAAGAGGCGGAAAGCGCCAAACATCGACCAAGCCAGCATCACAGCACCAGCCGCGCTATCGAGCAAGAGTGTCCGCGCCAGCGAGAGCGCCGTGTGTTCGAACACACACACCGACCTGCACCAGCTGGGAACCAGGACATCCAGCAGCGGACGAGCTGTGCGCGCTGTCTGACGACGGAATCATCGCGCACCGCCAACGGCGAGCGTCGCGTCGACTCGTCATTTAACAACAAACCCGCCCGGGCGACAGCGAGAGAGAGAAGCCGCTGTTCGTATGCCCCTCCCCAACCCTCACAAGCTCACGACGCAGCGCCCGGCGTCTGCTTAATACAAAGCATTTATCAAGGAGACAATACACACATGAACCATTAGCTGATCGTGAAGACATTGGTGCTCATTGAGTGATAAAAAAAATACGGTCGTTTAGAAGTACATCAGTCGTTATATATACTTTTTATTTTATTTTTTAATCGCTTAAAATTACCAATAGATTAATCGATGCAAACTAAACTTTTGAAACCTTCGTTACGAATCTACACTCTCAAAGGGAGAATATTGTGTTAAACCTTTCTTTTGAACACCGAATCTTGCCCAAGAATTAATTGAGGCTTAGCCAAAAATTAAGTATCTGCGTCAGCAGACACACACCACCGCACCCCATTGTCCCAAGACATTTCGTTAATTATATAATCTTGCCGATGAATCTATTGACGTATACCTTTGCCTTCGGCATATAATAATTTGCTTGTATTGCCTTTCGTATGAATATCGTTGCATGCATGTTTTAAGGACTTTCCCTATCGCCGTATATGCTCGCGTTACTCGGAGGAATGAATCAACTGTTCGGTTGCCCAGTGAAACAACGCAATCATTGATGGTTAAATGTACTGCTCACCGAGGGAAAATTCCCCGATGATACTGTGGATAATTCCAAGCATGAGAGTTCGCATATTAGAGTGTTATGTTTTTGTTTAAAATTAAAATTGTTTAACACAGAAGAGTGCTTCCTTCCTGAGTTCATGCTTAATAATCTTATTTATAAGAACTATATCCTGCGTTGAGATTTGAATTTGGAGACCTGACATAAACACACTTAGGCATAATCAGTAAATGCTATAGCATGAATAATTGCATTATCCCGATTGATATAATACAACCCTAGACAACGAAGCTAAGCCTAATTATCACAACTGCCCACATTAGCATAAGCACATACATTCGCAGAAATTAATGAAATTAGCCGCCTAATTAGCATAATTACATAATTTAGCATAATTTTCGATAATGGCGCATTTTTTCAATCTTCATTTAATTTTTATTATGAATTTTTTTTAAAAAGACATACAACACTCCCCACCCAGCCCCTCCCTGCACGACGGACGGACACAATAATCCCCTGTGGGCTGGTGTAACCAGGAGGTTCCATATTCTTAGAAAAAACCAGGAGGTTCCAACCAGTAAAAGTTGCATAGCTCCCAGTGGCGGCCCAATATCGGAACGAAGAGCATTCCAGAAGGCCGCAGAAGCAGCGCATCTGAAAGTGCGGTTGATCATCTTTGTTCGATGGTTAGTGAAAAGCCGCTGCTACGATTATGACCGGAGTTTGCATGATGATGGTTTATGGAGAGACAATGCTCATTTGATCATAAACGAGTGACTTGATTTAGTTTTTCCAGATAAAGTTATAGTTTTTTTATCTAGGCATACTCATCACGTGACGAAGCATCCATTCAGAAGTCTCGCACAGCAAGTGCGTCACTGTGCGTGAGCCAACGGCCCGTGAAAACGAGACATCACAGACCTCATTAAGAGCCCTTTCAAGTGACCTCTTAAACATTACCTGGGGACTGATGAAGTTTTTTTTATTCATCCTGCTCCAGAGATGTCCTGTGGAATGGCGGACAAACTTTTTTTAAGTCCTCGGATACGGACGTAATTGCAAATAAAGTGAAGACGTAAATTTTATCGTGGGTTTGGTCGTGCATTTGTTTTGGTGCCTGTTTCTGAAAGTGTCAACTCTTTCGAGTTTTGATTATCGCGCTGCTACACATTTCCACATGATGATATCAGTCACTTTTGTTGAACTATCATTTGTAAAGGCCAGGTCGCTTCTAAAAGAGAAGCTACACAGCTCAGTGGGTCCTAACCTGCTAAGAAAAAAAAATAGTTTATTACTTTAGTTTGTGTTTTTTTAAGTTATTTGTTTACCTTTCCTATACTTTGCACTCCTATCGTGCTTGTGAGTATTGTGTTGTTGTTATGTTCTGACCCCGTGCCCCCTACTGGACATCTGAACAAAGAGCTTTATAGCTCATCGGATTCCTCCAGTATAAATACAAGAGTCTGATTGTAACATTGGAGTACCCGTTATAATTTAGCTGGGCGGCTGTAATTCAGTGCTGTGGAGGCCAACAGCGAGGTTCAGGGCCCGATTAAGCTTCTTGTAGGCCCCAGGCACTTGTTTCGTAGGCCTTTAGTGATAACTTTCCAACAGTTGGTACTGCTGCTGCCGCCCCATGGTGACCACTACCGCCCCTGTCATTCCACTTGTTTCACGTGGTACTTCGTCCAGCCACTGGACAGATGTCGTAACGGCAGATTTCTCGCCTACTTCAGCAGTTTTTTCTTGCTGTGGTTGTCCCACCTGATGACGATTGCTTGTGTTGCGATCGAAACGTCGTGATCTATTATTTCTCTACCTACGTGACTTTACCGAAAGAACCAAAGAGTATGGATTCCTGCAGTCACGAAAGCTTCAAATCAAGATTCCCCACAAACTTTGCTTTTGTGACCAGAACAGTGATATTTTGAAATTGACCTATTTTCCAGAACATTCCAGATAGATTCAGTGCTGAGTAAACTTGGAGTAACTTCTAGAACATTCTAGAACTTTCCAGTAATATACATACTATAAATACAAGGGCCTTAAACCCACCAGTTCAGTTTAGTTTCAGCTGCCTAAGTGGATACATATCTGCATTTTTCTGAGATGGCATTAAGAGGCTGCAAGCATCCGGCAGACGTATTTTGCTATGTCTGCGGCCAATTTATCAAGACAAGAGCGAAAAAGTACTCTGTGGAAGCATCTGCTAAGATGTGTGAGGCCTACAAGGCATATTTTGGCATGCCTGTCGGGGATCAAGATAAAACTTGGGCACCTCATTTCACCTACGAGCAATAAAAAAAAACTCTAGAAGGTAAAATGGACAATTGTTTCTCGGAATTTAATGTTAAACAATTTGTTAAAAAAATTAAAATTGTAAAAAGTTTTTAATTTTAAAATGTTTTACAATGTTATTGAAAAAATATCATATGAAAAACTTTGCGAGAATCTCTTACACATTAGTCATGGGTGAAATGTATTTTTGTAGGATGGTACAGAGGGGAAAAGAGAGCCATGAAGTTCGCTATCCCAAGAATTTGGCGGGAACCCACTGACCACTCAAGCAACTACTACTTTTGCATGGTGGACCCTTCCAAACGTCGAAGTGGCAAGAATGCACCGGCTATCATGTATCCGGACCTTCCTTCATCCATCACCCCGGTAACCACATTGCCATGAGCTCCCTGTACCCACTCCTCCGGAGAGAAAGCATCCGTCTTTAGAAGACAGCCAGCAAGTCAGAGCGAGGAAGACGTAGATCCAGATGACAGTTTCAGAGGTGGAGCTGAAGAGAGAAACCCATACTACCCCAACCAAAAATACCTCAACGACTTGATCAGAGATCTTGGTCTCACCAAGTCCAATGCCGAGCTTTTGACGTCTAGGCTCAAGCAGTGGAACTTGTTGGATAAAAGTGTGCAAGTCGCAGATCAGAGGAAACGTCACCAACCTTTTTGCAGCTTCTTCACCCGCCAAGATGGGCTCTGCTTCTGCCACAATGTGACCAGTCTGTTTGAGGCAATCGGAATCGCATGTAACCAGAATGAGTGGCGCCTCTTCATTGACAGCTCATCCAGGAGCCTCAAAGCCGTGCTGCTCGATAATGGAAACAAGTACCCATCTCTTCCCCTGGCTCACTCGGTGCAACTCAAAGATGATTACAGCAGCATCAAGACCTTTCTGGATGCCTTCAAGTATGATGAGTACGGCTGGGAGGTTAAAATGGTGGCATTCCTGATGGGTCTCCAAGGCGGTTTTACCAAGTTCCCTTGCTATCTTTGCCTTTGGGACAGCAGGGACACCAAGGCGCACTACCACAGGCAGGACTGGTCACAGTGGACCGAGTTCTCTGTGGGAAGGAACAATGTCAAGTCGGAGCCACTGGTGGACTCCCAGAAGGTGCCGATGCCACCACTGCACATCAAATTGGGCCTTATGAAACAATTTGTCAGAGCTGTAGATAAGGAGTTAGCAGCCTTCAAGTACCTTCAAGACTTAACTTTGGAGCTTTCGTGACTGCAGGAATTATTCTTTGGTTCTTTCGGTAAAGTCACGTATAAAGAAAAAATAATAAATTAAATAATAACATACGACGTTTCGATTGCAACACAAGCAATCATCATCAGGTATAATGAAATAGCGACATAAAATCTAACCAGAAAAAATTATAGACAGACATAACATTTCGATACTTTGCTAGGTTATTTAATTTTAGTGTGTCTCTTTCTCCCCCTAAGCCTGCTCACTCCTTTTTGTTGTACTCATTGACATGTAAATTTTGTCTCTAACCCCTCCCTCTCGCTGCCTCCGCCCCCCTCTGTCTATTTAAGGCCACCCCACAGAGACGATCACCCCTCTCTGTACCTGTGTTGCCCGCTGTGTGTATCTTGGTGATATCTGTCTGCTTATATGTCTGTCTATAATTTTTTCTGGTTAGATTTTATGTCGCTATTTCATTATACCTGATGATGATTGCTTGTGTTGCAATCGAAACGTCGTATGTTATTATTTTCTTTATTATTTTTTCTTTATACGTGACTACCGAAAGAACCAAAGAATACCTTCAAGACTTCTTCCCTAAGCTGTCTGAGGCAAAGGTCAAAGCCGGTGTCTTCGTCGGACCACAGATAAAGAAGATCCTGGAATGCAATGAATTCCCCAATAAGCTCACTAGTAAGGAGAAAGCGGCTTGGAACAACTTTGTCGCAGTGGTTCGTGGCTTCCTGGGCAATCACAAGGTCGAAAACTATGTAGAGCTGAATCTTAATTATGGAGCTTTCGTGACTGCAGGAATTATTCTTTGGTTCTTTCGGTTAAGTCATGTCTAAAGATAAAATAATAAATTAAAACAAAAGCATATTACGACGTTTCGATTGCAACACAAGCAATCATCAGGCAAAAAAAAGAAATAGCAACAAAAAATCTAACTAGAAAACTATAGACAGACATACAAGCAGACAGACATCACAAGGACACACAGAGAGAGGACACATATCGGCACAAAGAGAGGGGTCGTTTCTGTGACGGTCCCTTAAATATAGAGAGGGGGGCAGGGACGGAGAGAGGGAGGGGGCAGAGAAAATTAGCATATCAATGAGTGGACGGCAAAGTGCTGCTGCTGCGCGAGTAAGATGACGACGTGGCACGGCACGCAAGCTTGTAAATTAGGAGAAAGGCACACTAAAATTAAATAACCTCGCAAAATATCGAAATGTGATGTAATACAACACAGAGAGTCGGTCAACACACAATTAACGCATAGCCTGGTTGATTACGTATCTCAAAGATTGCTAAGTTAGAATTTAAGTGTGAAACCTCCAAAGAGAGGACACATGCAGAGAGAACAAATAGCCAGAGAGAGAATGTCTAATAGTGTATTGTATTACATTGCTCTGTTTTTTTGTGTTTTACCTTTTCTTGTTTCATTGTATGTAATGGCAGAGATTAGGGATTCTTAAAGAACAGAAATATATGCATTGATTTATATGAAGACAAGTCCAGATAGTGGCCAAGGTTAAGAAAATTGTTGTTTTTATTTACATAGTATAGCAATTTTTTTATTTGGGTTGGAACCCCCAGACACCCTGGAAGATTTGGTCCCCCCCAATGTTGATTCCATGGCTACGGCCTTGATGTAGATGAATATTATAATAGGTTTAAAGCGACAGTTTCCTACTTAAATTTCCGAGGATGCCCAGGATCTTCGGCATAGAAGGGGTCGGGAAGTTATAATTGTTACTGTGTCTGTCTTTATGTCTGATTAACTTACTGTCTGTCTGACTCTGTCTGTCTCTGTCTGACTCTTCCTGTTTGTGTGTCTTTAGGCTATGTTTGTCTCCGATCTGGGATCTAAAATCATTTTCATACATAACAAGTTATCAACATTTACGGGCCAGTACGTGTCACACTCACACACACTCACTGTTGTCGTGTACGCGACTAAAATAAGTACAGTGATACCTCGGTTCACGAATGCTTCGGTTCACGAACAACTCGGTTCACGACCAGAAAATTTCATAAAAATATGCTTCGGTTCACGAACTCCGCTTCGGTTCACGAACAGGAGCCGCGCCCATTTTTATGCTAATTCCAGGCTGTCACATGGTCGTGACTTCCTGTAGGAAGATCGCGGAGAGAAGCAGAGACACAGAAAGAAGTACTGTACTGTACTGTGAGTACTGTGAAGACACTTTCAGTGACTTTTTGATTTTTGGTGTGCTTTTTAGCACATACAGTACTGTACTGTACTACTGTACTGTACAATACTGTACTTACTGTATTGTACAGTTCACCCGTTTGAGTGCTTACTGTCTCCCACCCGCCTCCCACCTGCCTTCCTCCATGCCAGAAGTCATCTCAAACAAGGTTAGTGTTCTCTCTTTATACATTACTATACTGTCCAGTACTACAGTAATGTGTATTGTCATATGTTTCATATTTTTGTGCTTCAAAAACCAAAAAAAAAGGTCAGAACGGATTAACCGGATTTACAATGAACCCTATGGGAAAATGTGCCTCGGTTCACGACCAATTCGGTTCACGAATTAAGTTCGTGAACCGAGGTATCACTGTACACGGAATTACAAACTGCCCGCCCGCCCAAGTACGCACCCACCCACCAGCCGACCTACACACTCACACACATCCACCCGCTCACTCGCCCGCCCACCCACACAATTGTTCGGCCGACTGATGAATTTTAATACAAATGTCAAGGATTGTCACGATTGTATAGCCTGTGTTGTAATAATCATCTTAAGTATAAATCCAGTGTTAAAACGTGTTGTTCACCACAGAACATGACGTAACTACAGGTGACATGACACTGGATTACACAGTAGATGAATATTATAACATGTTTAAAGCTATCCTACTTAAATTCATGTGGACGCCCATGATATTCGGTGTATTATAAACACGATATACTGAAATTCCTTTAATACCGTCATATATTTAGCACCTTTGTTGACATGTCGATGACACCGCGATTTACAGAATTTTTGCCGTGAATCAAAGATCGTGCGTTAATAAATTCTGAGAACCATTAAGAAATGAATTACGATTCCCTCCGTATGTGCAGGGGGAGTCGAAATGATGACATCTTCGTTATTTTAATTTGTATTTTTTCACCCTCCAATATGGCAACCGCATTTAACTTGGCGCCCCAGGCGACCGCCATTAGTTCGCCTGTATGGATGGGTGGACGCCCCTGACTGGTAGCGAGACAAGACCATAAATAAGGCTCTGGTGTCGGCCAATCGGCCTCACAAAGACAATGCATAACATTATTATCAGAGCATGTTAATTTGCATGTTTTGTCCGAAGTTACGTGTGGTCAATGCAGACTTGATGCCTTGCAAAAGGTATCATCTCTTTGGTGTTTGAACATCTTAACAACTCCTGTTTTATTGGCAGAGAGGGTAAAACCTATCCTTAATTTTCATCATTTTTGATACTGGCAAAAAAGGTCACCATACATATCAACGAAGTGGGTTATCATGTGGAAATTAATAGCAGCCAAATATTCCGAACGCGCGATGTCGATTAAAAAATACGGAGATAAAAATCGGAGGACCCGGAGAAAAATCCACGCGACCACAGGGAGAGTTGAGACGCGCAGACTCCAAATATATAGCAGGACGTCAAGAGTTGGCATCGAACCCAAGACCTGCAAACCATCCCCTCTAAAATTAACCAACTGCCTGCTTCTCCTCCCCATCTCCCAATGCGCGCATCACCTCTACGTTTGGTGAAACGCAGACGCGCTCCAAACCGTAATGGAGGTTAGTTTGGGTGAGATCACGTGAATGCAAATGTGTCGCTCAACCAACCACCATCACTCGACACAGCTAATCAGCAAGGGTTTGTCACGTCAACAAAACGTGACAATTAGTTGACTAGTCCAGCATTTAAACCGGTTGCATGTTGGAGAGGAAACCCACAACATCTACAATGGTAAACTAGTCACGAATTGGCACGTTTATTTGTCGTGAAAGCCCACGCTCCAAATGTCCGTATTCAGCCAGCTGGCGTTGGCGGCCGGAGCGAGCGTTTCGTGACCAGTAGGGCTGAACAACGCAGCAACGGCCCACTGCGGGTACGACTGCCGAAAGTGAAGGGAGCGGATCGCCCATCCAAACGTCGATTTGGCGGCCGCCAACTCGCTATCTCTCTAGGGCCAATGAAAAAAAACAAAATCACTCCCACTTTGTCCATCCCCCCTCCGCCTGCACTCTTCCCTCCCCCGTTCTGCCCCCCCCCCCGCTCATCTCTACTTCCCCCACTCGCTCCCCCCTACTCCTCCCTGCTCCCCCAGCTCCTCCCAGCTCCCCCGGCTCCTCCCTCCCCACCCCCTGCCCCCACGCTAGCTGAGATCGCCGCAGTGCGTGCACTCCTGGTTGCGCCGGAGGAGCCCGGGCAGCTCAAACGTCCTCCCACACCGGCAGCATGAGCGGTTGCACTGGCAGGCTCGCTCCTCCGCTCCTCCGGCGTCTCTGCCGTCGTCGTTGTCATCGTCCTCGTCACGGTGACGACGGGGCTCGAGAGGGTGCGGCCGCTCTCCCGCGCCCTGCCCCCGCTGGTGGTGCTGCCCGAGCCCCGGCACGGAGACCCCACCGCACAGCAGGCAGTGCCACTCCCCCGCGGAGCCGCCGACGGCCGCGGCCGCGACACCGCACCGGGCGCAGCGGCGATGGTGGCGTCGCGTCGCGGCTGAGGGACGACGCCGGATCGGCGCGTGGCTCCGAGAGTCGAACCGAGGCCTCCCCGGGTCACCGGCCGGTGCCGGCTGCTGCCCACACACGGGGCACGGGAAGGCGGCGATCGCAGACCCTGCCGCAAACAGCCGAGTTCCCCCGGGGGTAGGGGGAAGAGGAGTTGGAGGGTTTAACCGTGTCAGCGCGAGCGGTTCCGGCATGTGTATCTGTCCGAGCTAAACTATGAAAGATTTTTTTTATGTTTTATTTTACCAGATCTAAAGAAGCGACCTGGCCATCACAAAATGATAGCTCAAGGAAGTGGGCTTATCATCGTCATCACGTGGAGATGTATAGCAGCAACCGAACACTCTCAACGTGGGTTTCTACACTCAAGAGACTCAGCATAGAGAACCGCAGACACCCATAGATAATCAACATCACGCGTTTAGAGTATTTTGCTGCTGCTATAAACGATCATGATCATAAGCCCACTTCGTTGAGCTATCATCTTTGCGATGGCCAGGGTCGCTTCTGACAAAAGAGCGAATACAGCTCAGTGTGGCCTTACATCTTATGACCCTTGAGCTACACCCATTTCAAACGGACGCTTGTGTTGCGCCCGAAACATCGTGATATATTTGATTTTATACCTACGTGACTTTACCGAAAGAACCAAAGAGTATGGATTCCTGCAGTCCCATAAAGCTTAAAATCAAGATTAAAATAAAACAAAATTGTGGTTTTTAAGTCTCAATTCAGATCGAGTGCGATCGGGCGGCGGTCGCACCGAAAACGACGTCGCAGTTCATCCATCGCTTGGCCGCGCCAGGGGTCAGATCCTCACCGTCGCTGCTCGGATCCTGCAGCTCCACCTTGGCCTCGACGCCTGGGGCCGTCGCAGCCACCGCCACGTCTCTCCGCGTGGCCACAGTCACCGCCCCCGGCCTAGCGCTGAGACCAGCAGACTGGAGGTCCCTTCCATAGGCCTGGAGGTCTTCTCTGTCACCCAGGAGGTTGTCTCCTTCCGCGTGGACGACGTCCACCCAGGGGGTGCGCAGCTCTCGACCATCCGCATCTTCTCCGTCGCGCGGAAGGCCCCCTTCTTCCGCCCGAAAATCCTCGGCCACGTCTGAGGGTGAGACGCGCCGGGAAGGGGTGGTGGCGTTAAAGTGCCGGCGCGCGGCACCCTGGCAGATGCGTGCTCCGTCGTAGTCACCTTCCCCGATCACAGTCATCGATTACAGCTGATCATCGATAATTATCCGGCACAGATATAACGGCGGCCACCGTTCACCGCTAAGTGGCGGCGACGTCGCCACGGTGCTTGTGCCATACTCTTTGGTTCTTTCGGTAAAGTCACGTGGGTAGAAAATTTTAAAAATCACGATGTTTCGATTGCAACACAAGCAATCATCATCAGGTGCAATCGAAACGTCGTGATTTATTTTATTTTCTACCTACGTGACTTTACTGAAACAACCAAAGAGTATGGATTCCTGCAGCCATGAAAGCTTCAAATCTAGGGGTTTATGCCAGTCGCGGTGCACTTTTGAGGCTATCGCGTGAAGTGTTGAAAGGCTCCCCACTGCCGGCAGGAGGTCACGGGACAGACCCAGGTGATGCCATGGGTTGACTGACTGAGACGTCTCGCAGACGCTCCACCTGTGCTCCCCACCGTGCCAACTTGCTGCGTTTTATACACACATATATTACACACAGTCATATACATATGTGGTGGTCAAGGTTGACACCAAGGTTGACACAGGTCACACAGGTCACACAAGCTAGGGGAGAGGTACGTACCGGTCTGGACCGGCCCGGATCGACAGGGACGAGAGGTGGTTGGAACGGCTCTGAGGGGAGGGGGCTGGCGAGAGCCAGGGCCCGAGACACCCCCGCCCCTCAGAGAGAGGGGATATATAAGACGGCTCCCGGAGAGCGGAGGGGTCGATCGGAGGAGAAGCTGAAGGAGGAGAGCCGGAGATCCTGGACCCCCAAGCCTCGAGGATGCCGCCCCGCTGGAACTGAGTGGGCTGAGTAGCTGTAGGCTAGGGAAGAGAGTAGCTGAGTAGCTGTAGGCTAGGGAAGAGAGTAACAGAGTAGCTGGAGGCTAGGGAAGGAGAGAAATGAGAATAGAGCCGGAGGCTGTACCTCCCTAGGTTGTGTGTGTGGGACTGTTCCCCCAGTGAGTCCTGAGGACTAGTGTTATCGGAATAAAAGCGTGTGGCCTCTACGAAGTGTCGGTCTCATTCAAGAATACTACAACTGGTGTTAGAAGCGGCCAAAGAACCTCGCCGACATGGAGACAAGACAGAAAGCGCTCACCAGGGGCCAGGAGAAGGACGTCGAGGGAGACGCTGAGCCGGAGGCGGGAGCGCCATTTCCGGGGGACGGGTCTGCGGGGGCGGGCTCGGGTTCTCCGGGGCCCTCCAGGAGTCCGCCGACGTCGGGATGGGCGATCCAGTCAGCCCATGCCCGGCTGTTCGATCTCCTCCATGCCGCTGCCTCCATCCTCGACGAGCTCACGCTGGGGGGAGCGGGAGCGCCGGGTGGAGTACCAGGCCGGAGGATGGGACGGGTTCCCGCCGAGAAACGCGCCATTCCCGCGCAAAACTTTGACGTCACCTCCGGAGGGGGAGACGTCACTTCCGCCGGGGATGCGGCCGCCGGGGATGACGTCACTTCCGCCGGGGGGGTCACCGCTTCCGGGGGACATGACGTCAACCGCCCAGGAGGTCAGGGGGCAGAGGTGGCCCGCGTCACATCCGCCATCTGCGGCCTTACATCGGGAGAAGCAGAGTTTTCGGGTAGGTGCCCGCCGATTCGGTCTGATATTCTGCCGCCGGAAGACGCTTCATATACTGCACTTGGGACGCCGCTGTCTTCGAGGGGGGACTACATCCCGGCGCTGCAACAGCGCTTGCCTTCGCTTCAGGTTTTCACGGCAAAGGGGGGGGACTGGGCTGCTTTTTCACGCCGTTTCGTGGCAAATGCCGAGACGGCTGGGTGGTCTGCTGACATCGCTCTCCGAGCCCTGCCTTCCGCCTTGGACGACGTGGCCTTGGCCACGTTCCTCCTTATTCCACGGAGGCAACGCTCCACTTTGCAGGAGGCCCTCGATCGGATGGCCTTAGTGTATGGACCTCCATCCGAAACTAGACATCGTTTCGCCAGTCGGAGGAGGGAGGCGGACGAGACACCTCTTGCCTATCAGAGTGCACTGATGGTGTTGGCTCAAGCAGCCTATCCTCGAATGGACGATGTGGGCCTGGACTCCATCGTGCTGGAGAAGTTGCTGCTGCTGGCTCGGGAACTGAGGATTGCCATCCACGTCAAAGATGAAGCTAACCTTTCCTCGCTGGGGGCGGCACATTACCTGCACACAGAGTTGCTCCTCCAGCGGGATGGGCAGGTGGCTGCGTGCGCCGCTGCAAGAGTTGACGAGGTCCCGGATGCCCAGGCCTTCGCGTCACAGCGGGCCGCCAGTTGGAGGGGGGCCGACCGGCCTCGCCAAGGGGAAACCCGGGGGAGACACGGATCCCCGCGGGCGTGGGCTGGCGTCACGTGCTATAACTGTGGCCAGCTGGGTCACCTGGCATCGGGTTGCCCAGCACCCCGGCGCCGGGCTTCGGGTCATCCACCATCGTCCGCCCGTCCGCCGGCCGCTCCACAAGACCCCCAGGCATGTCGCGACACCTCACGCACACGGTCCCTGCCCGCATCTCATACACCGCGAATCGGCGCGCCAGTAAATCGCGTTGTGTTGAGGGGTGGGGAGCGGAATGGGGCTGATGTTTGGGGGCCACTTCGCGCGGTTCAGTGGTCCGAGTTGGCCCACAGGGTCGTGGCCGCGGCGACGGGCTCGTCGGTTATTCTCGGGGATATTGAGGGAATTCAATTTCGATTGTTGGTCGATACGGGGGCTTCGGCTACTATAATCTCCGACCTCATATACAACGTGTTACCAAAGAGATGTCAGGCACTCACCCCGTTCTCCGTCCCTTGCTTTGCGGCAAATGGGGGTTCCCTGGGGATTATTGGCCAAATAACTGCACAAATTTGTATTGGCGACATTAAATTATCTGGTCCCATTTTGGTTTCCGATGCCTTGGCCGTTCCCTGTCTGTTGGGTACGGATTTCTTGGAGAGGATGCCCATCAAAATTTTGATTGACAAAGGCTACATCGAGCTTCCTTCGGGCCGCCGGATGGCGTTTCTGCCCTCACCAAACCGGCTGTGCACAGCTTGCACGACTGTTCCGGCTATGGCGTCTGAAACCGTGCGGATTCCGCCGGGTGCGCAGATGCTGATACCGCTTCAGTTACGCAAACCACTGGAGGCAGACGCTACGTCGGGGGTTTTGTTGTCTCCTTCAAATACGACCGAGCGAGGGTTGGACCTGGTGGGTGGACAAACGCTTTGTTGTATCCTAGCCCTTCTTCCATAATTGAGATTAATAATATTTGATGATTTTTATATATTATCTTTTTACTTGTTTTTTTTAATGATTGAAACACACCAAGCGCAGCAAACTGCAAAACACCAGGTGTTGTTAAGTAATGAACTGGAGGAGGGCTAGGATGGCAGAATTTGCAACCTTGCTTCAAGGAAAGATAAGGCCTGATGAACGGGCACATGTCACCCGTGCAGGCGGCAGAGACAGTGGGAGTGTCAGCCAGACATAGTTAAGGCAAAAGCCCAATCATCCTGCATGGTTTTAAAGTAACGTCAAAATTCGAAATTCAACAACAGAGTAGGCTAAAGTTATTGATATTCACACCCACTCCAATTAAACCAGGTCACAAGTTACGCCTACTGAACCATCACCATCATTAAGTCAATATGAAATGTTATTTCCATACTTCAATACTTTCTATACAATTCGACCCGAAGCATATGACAATCAGAACCTTCCTAAGTCAAAATTGAATCGCACCCAGACAGGAGCGAATAGTCAATATAAGGTTGAAGAGGGAAGGAAATCAAGAGCACGGCGAACTGCAAACGTAAGCAAAAAGCCGGGAACAACACCAGCCCAGCAACAGCGAGTGGGGCTTCGACAGGCCATAAAGTAGAATAATAACTCCCGGGGTCAGGGGACACAAGAAGAAGCAGGCAGACAAAAACCAGAACTGACTCCAAGGTTCAACCGCCCTCACCTACTCAGGGGTGACGGAAATTAATGAGGCCTTGAATTAACGGCAGGCAACAACAACGGCGAGCAGAGATAGGGTGGGGCAAAGACTGCAGGCTATGGAATGCAACTTCGTGTCAGTAAAGCCCTGACAAACAAGTTAAGTTAAAGACATCACAATACATAATATCGCACATAACATCAATGTTAACGCTATTCACCGTAAACTATATTCCGCTTATATAACCATCCAGGCACCAAGGAATACGAATTCCTAGGATCAAGAACTTACCCCTTAGCCTAAGATATCGGAAATAAATTAATAGTAATAAGTATATGCCTGAAAAGACAAAGTAAAACTTATGAAAAGCCAGTATAACGGGATGAATCACAACCAGGTCGAATATAATACATAATAAAAAAAACGATGTTAAACCCAGGGTCGGAGAGAAAGGGAGATCCCGGCCGTCTTTGTATCCCCGCAGCGCTGGATAGGAGTGTGTGTACGCTCGGGGAAACACCTACACGTGGGTCGGGAACCACGATGGGAAACGACAGACCGTAGGTTACATACAGAATCATAACTGTGAAATAGTAAGGGACAAATGTTAACTTAAAACTTTTAACCATTTCTTTGTGCGCCGGGTCGGAGAGAGTGTTGCCCCCCCTCCAGGTTGTGCAACACGAACAAAGACGCCTATGAGACGATTTGTAACGTCTGTGTTTTGGGTTCATGAAGAAGGCCAGACAAGAGATAAATTGCACCCAGACAGAGAGACGACTTCGAGACAATTTGTAACATCTGGTTGTTTGCTCGTGGGTTTTATGGAGGGAGTTGACAACGGAATATACCGTCAGTGATGCACACAAGGACATACGGACACACACATGGACACACCTGCCTACGGACAGATCCTGACACAGCAAAAATCGGAAGCCCCGCCTTGTGGGCGGGATCCAGGGGGATTTTTCAGCATAAAGGAACGGATCCTGAA